ACAAATCTGCGTATATCTTTATCAGTGAAATAGTCAAAGGAGTGAAGTGGTTGTTTGGAAGCTTCTTTAGCTTTTTATCGGCAATTTCGTTGCCATAAATTCCGATATGGCTAGGCACCCACATTATTTTTATACAGTTATTGCTTTGCAATAGCATGCTACGAATATTGGTTATTAAAGGTTCATTATTAGTATTAAATATAGCTTCAATTGCTGATCTACTGTCGGTACATATAATTTCCCATTCGGGAAGTAAATTGTACTGCCTCAAATATTGCGGCTGCTTCGGCAGTAAATACCGAGCAATAGGATGGCAAGGAACCGACCATAATAGTAACACCCAGCTGGTTTGTCACAGCAAACGTTGTGCTGGTGTCTGACTTGAATCCGTCCGTATAATACAAGTTCCAATCATCATTTAAGGACTCTAATAACGCATTAAACATTTGTACTCATTACTGCTGGTAGAATATTTTGGGTACTTAAGTAGGGTGTTGATGAGTGATGAATTTGGAAGCGCACTTGGTGGATACTCTGAAGTTTTAAGAAGTGATCAGGTGATTACGGTGTTCAGCTGTTGAATTAGACTTAAGCAACTCATAATAGTAGACGGCTTACGACTAGTCTTAAAATTTCGTATAGAGCAATTGATTTGCGAAAAAGTTAATTCATTTCTGCAGTGAAGTAGCCTTAGTATAAGCATCATGGTGTTACGCATGGTCCGGTAGTTTACATGCGGTAATCCAGCTTCTGATAGAATTACCTTAATTGGTGACGTTGAAAAGGCGCGAATGCTTCTTCTGACTACTGCGTGGTAGGGTGCGTTCAAGAGCTTAATGTTTGTATTAGCGCAATGTCCGTAAATACAAAGTCCGAAGTCAATTTTAGATAATATTAAAGCTTTTATTATATTGACAAGAGTATTTGTATGTACTAAGCAATATTTAGATGATAAGAATTTAATTATATTCAATCTAGAAAAAAGACTTACTCTAACATATTTACAATGCTCTTTGAAAGTTAATTTGTTGTCGAATATAAGTCCTAAGATTCTTAATTTATTAGTATGTGGGAGATCAACGTTAGAAAAGCATATATTAGGAAAGGAGCACTTTTGTTTCCGACATATGTGAAAAGTTTTACGTTTGCTAGGCGATATATTAGCGCCGGAAATTTTTGACCAATTACTTATTTTATTCAATATATTTAAAAATATGTGTTTAACTTGGTTTAGATCTTGAGTTTGAGAGAATATTAAAACATCATCGGCATAGATGCAGTGTTTGACAGCTCCACTAGAACTTATAATTGTACTTATTTCATTGAACGCCATGGTAAATAACGCAACAGAAAGGGGTGATCCCTGTGGTATACCATTAAACAGATCGTGTAGGCCGGATTTATGCATATTGGCAGTAACAAAAAATTTGCGGTGGTTCAAAAACGATTTTATTATATTATATAGTTTTTCGCCAATATTCCATTTTTTAAGTTCCCTGAGTACCGTGTGAGGTCCAATCCTGTCAAATGCTTTTTCAAAGTCTAAGCTTAGCACAGAAACGTGATTTCGGTTTGACAAAGCCGTAGAGGCATAGTGTTCGAAAAATAACAGAGCGTCAGTTACTCCTAATCCTTTTTGGAAGCCAAATTGTTGGGGTTTTATAAAAGCGTTTGCTTTGGCAAACCACATAACTCTTACAGATATTATTTTCTCCAGAACTTTGGACATGCAAGGAAGTAAGGATATCGGTCTATAATTTTCTATTTGAGAGGTAGGTTTATTGGGCTTGGTGATGGGAAGGATGGAAGCTGTCTTGCACTCCTGTGGATAGATTCCCTCGTTGAGGATTTTATTGTAAAGAGAAATTATTCGTATTTTAAGGGATCGAGGGAGATTTTTAAGGATGGGATAGGAAATGATGGGAGCATCTGCTTGGACGGCTCTGGGTAAGGGAAATGGGTTATTGTAGTTTTCAGAGATTTTTTGGCTTTTTAAGGTGTTGAAATCATTGTGAAATGTATGACTGTTGGAATTATCTGACCATGTGTCCGCAAACTTCTGAGCAATGTCTTGAGGGTTATAAATAGGACCTTGGGCTGAATGTATAAATGGTAAGCTGGATCGTTGTGAGGAGCCTGTAAGAATTTTAATATCTGTCCAAATTTTTTTTGTGCTCGAAAGTGGGYTGATATTGGCGGTGAGTGTTTCTAAAGCTTTTCGTTTGGCAGATTTTAATTCTTTTCTAAACACCGCTTTTTTATAGCTTATGAAATTATTGCCAGTTCTGGAATGTTTGTATTTGGACCATAATGCTTGTTTATTGTTCCTTAATATTGTTAGGAGATTTGACCAATATGGCAATTTAGCATAGAAATGCTTGGTATATTATAGATAGAAGAATACAAGTATGTTGAAGAAAAAGAGTTTGATTGGATTTGATTGCTCATGGTCATTGGAGTTTTCGTTTTAATTTTCCTACAGTTGTCATTTTGCTTAAATACGTCGACAAACAGTAATTAATAATATAATTTTATAATTTTTGTGAGGTAAGAGTTAGTTGATTTACATAAGAGTATGTAACATACAATACTTGGAAAAATTACTTGTCACGTTATTTGTCCGCGCTGAAAATCTAAAGTACTGAACGGATTTTAATGATAGTTTCATCCAACTTAATGTATAGGATAGTTTATATCTGATTTTATAGGTGTGTGTGTTTTTTTTTTGTTAATTATTTGTTTATTAATGACCGTTTAAACTATTCTACAGGAAGAATTTGTGTGCATTTCAATCGTCGGCATCAAAATCGTATAAGCAGTTGTATTACCAAGTTTTGAGCTAATTTAGTAGATAGTGTGCGAATGGCACATTCAGTATACTACATACTTGTCATTAGATATTCATAAGAAAACAATTGCAATTTGTGACATATGTATAAGGGACATTCTCTTGCTATTGCACCGTGCACGAATTACAGAATTTTCCTTTTGGTGCAACGGCACAACAACAAACAGACGCAAAAAATTATTTTCAATGGCTCTAAAATATGTTAGGCCAAAACCCATGTTTATTTTCATGCAATTACACGTAAAAAAATAATTGCAACCTTGTGCCAAATGTCATTTTATGTAAAGACATATTTCGCCGTTAAATTGTTGAGAAAGGTAAGTTTTAAATAGATTTTAAATTTATTTTTATATTGTAAAGATTTGTTATAGTTTTTTTTTAAGAATGAATGCAGAGTTGCGCTAATTCACAATAGTCATTCCCAATAAATCATCAGTTTATATATTTTATTATTAGATTCTGCAATGGGTGCTCTCTTGGTCTTGCTTATTTCGATATGGGATGTTTGCATTTTGTGTCATCGTGCAATCTTGCAAGAGAATCCCCCTATAGTAAAATGACGGAACAGCTGCAGTGTTGCGAAAAATTTTAATTATAATCAGATATGAGGGGTTCGCAAAAAATTGCAAGCATTGTACGGAACAATAAGGATTTAAGCGCAACGATAAACTCTTCGGGCCACAGTTTGATGTTTTCGGGCAGATCTTGTCAGTCATTTCTTGCCTCCTTATTATGGCACTCTTCGATTGGTCATAAACTTACGCATACCATTATGTTCCGTCATTAAATACAACAAGATCTGTGTATTAACAACCAAACTCAATTTTTTTCCAACTACTGAGTAAAAATAATGCATGTATGTACATATGTATATTTGACAACTGCAAAGTGATTACCAGCACAAATATTTGCCGAACAATTGCTAGATATTTGGGATGGCAGAATAGAACTGTAATCAAATATGCAAAGCATTAAACTCCTAGAATATATAAAAATAAGTTAAATTATTTTTCGGCCATAACAAATAGTTACTTGGATCATAATTGGATCACGTATTCGGCATAATGAAGATGTTGGAGAAATAAATTCTCCAATAAAGCAATCGTTTCCAGGCGATTTAAATCAATCTATGCAGTTTTTGGCGAAAATAAATATGTCAATTTTCCAATTGAATTTCTAAAAGAAATACAATATGTTTGGAACATAAGAAGGTAAGTTTATACCAAATTCATAAAAGCTTGACCTCTTAGTTTACTTTTTAATTACGCCAATAAAACGTAGTCATTTGGTGCCAAGTCAGGACTTATCACATCAATGTTTTGATATACTATATTATGGTTGGTTTCCTTGGTTTCTTGAAAGACAACTGGCAAAAACAATTTTAGCACTCAGAATTAAGTGTTCTGTGTTATTTTGGTGGTACGGTTATTACATTATTACATGTTAAGAAAAAATTGGGCACCCATTTGTTTTAAAGTGTTTCGTGCACGAACAACCTCTGTTGGAACCGACTCATTTGGTAACATACAGTCAATTGTTGTTTACTTAGGGCTCATACGTGTAAATTGAAGATTCATCATCTGTCAAGATGTCATATGAGAGATTTAAACGATTGACAAATTAGGAAAAAATGGGACCCAACGTTAAAAAATTTTTATACAAAGGAATGTTCATGCAATATTGAATGTACTTGCATGTTGGTCCCACTAATACCTATAGTTGTCTCAAGCGCACGCTGGTCACATAACAACCTTGTAATATCAGTTTGCGCAAAGCATCAATAGTTTCCGGAACAAGAACTGATTTTTCTTCATCGCCAAAATTGGAATTAAGTTCACCGGTGCACAAAATCCGAGATATAAAACCTACGTATATTTGAACTTAAACTTTAGCCGCGGCAACTAGAGGTTGGATGATCAGGTATTCATATATATAAAAAAAAATGAAATTATGTATACAAGTACTTGTGATTTTTATTTCTTTCAAATCTTGCTATCAAATTAGAACGGTACAATTATTTGATGTCACTAATGTTCGAAATTAAAAATTTCAATGTGTATTCAAAATAAATTTTCATATACATATTTATAATTAAAGTATATATGTAGAATTCTTACATCATTTCCTATTTATAGTTAATTATGGTCTTAGATGTATATGCAAGTGTGTATTTACATATATATATTTACAATAACGTTCGACACTTTACAATTTGTTTATTCAATTTCATGCTACGTAAATACAAAACTACTTATCTTTGTACACCTAATTGTTTGGCAACAACTAAATTCGTTGCATATTATGTATTTCTATTAATTAATTACTTTAAAGGAAGCATAAGAACCACGTTAATTATCCACAGGATCTTCGGTTTAGTGAAGTACCGTCCCTACGGGATACATCTCGAAAATATAGATTCTAAAACAAGAAAATTCAAATTTAAAAAATTTTTGTTGGTACATTCTTCAAAACAATCTGTTTTTAGTTATAATTATTTACTTAAAATGCTCTCACAAATATGTTATGAAATTATTGACTTATTTGTCCACTATATTATTAAAAATTTTGGATATGTTTTAGATAGAAAACGTTCTATTATTAAAAAATAATATATGGATTTAATTTTCAAACCTTTGTGCCTTTTTTGCAATCGATATTAAATGAATTCTTTAGTTTTGATTTTAAACAGTGTAAAGTGTATAAGTAAGTAAATTTACTTCATTACTATAATACTCTGCTGCAGAATTATAAAGCTGATGAAATAACTGTACAACTTTAAAAATTAGGAAAGAACATCCATTTCACAATTATAAGATTGTACTAGTATGTTTCTGTTCTGCGGAATTTTATGAAATCTTATTAACTTGAGTGCCTTTAAATCAAAAATCGTAAATAATAATTTATTTTTAATAATAATTTATTATTATTCGAAAAGTACCGCTTTAATTTATAATTAAACTGGAGGAACTTTTTTTTTAAGATGCTTGACTGGGGGGGGGACCCATAGATGATACTACTACTACTACCATTTATCATGTTCATAATCTAACAAAACCAGCGAATTGCTGACTCCGGGGAGTGTTTGAGTGCTCTTTAATCGTAATAAAACCGAATCCATCATTTCTTACTAAGGTCCATTGAACAGACATTATAGTGGACTACTATCAATGAACCGGTCTTCAAGCGCAGAAAAATGAAAAGTCGGCAAGGTTATGACATCAGTCTTTTGGGATGCACGTATGTAGTTTAATATTCATCGACTGATTACTGATCCAGTTATAATCCATTGCACTGTGTGTTTGGATGCATTTCTATTCTAATATACCAAATACTTAGCAATTGTATTGTTTTTGAGGAAGCATCGGTTTGCATAGAGAGTTCCGCGGCCTCCGACGTGGTATTTATAGGCACGCACCAAAACGGCCGGCCGGTACCGCCGCAAACGCTACGTCCCGCAATTTTTAAATATGTAATATCTTCGAAAATATTCATTTAAAGCAAATGCTGTACAGGGCCATATAGATCTATATTAAACCAACAATGTATTTAAGGTATTTAATTGGAATGCGATTAATACTGTATTGTTTAAAATCGCTCAGAACATTAGCAATTATTTGAAAAGGACAAAAAAACAAATAAAAAACAGAAAATGTTATCGTAGGATTTAGCCTGCGTTTGCAATGTTAGCGAAAAAAGTTTAATTATTTACGACATCACATTAGAAAACTCAAAAATAACAGTATTTTCCACTATTTAATGGATGTTATTATATATATAAACCTTCCTCTTCAATCACTCTATCTATTAAAATAAACTGCATCAAAATGTGTTGCGTAGTTTTAAAGATTTAAGCAGTCATAGGGACATAGGGACAGAAAAATCGACTTTCTTTTACAGTTTTGTACAAGTCGAATGAACAGCTATGATTATGACTTCCAATAATAAAATTTGATATTTGGACAGGACAATACCTAAACATAAATATGCAAAAAAAAGACTACGAATTCAATAAATTTTTTCGAGTGGTCAGATTCAATTGAAGAATTCTGTGGCATTCTTGCTCGCCTTATTTGCGAAAGAACGTATAGCTGTCACAGCCAAGGATGTTCCCCTTCCTTTTAATTTATTATAAAAACAAAACAACAAAAAAATAAAAATAAAAAAAAAATAAAAAAAAAAACTTTATCATTTCACCTGACGATTCACCTTCAATCTTAAGTTACAAAAATTCTTAAAATTCCACAGAAATATAGCTGTAGTGGTTTCATAAGTGCAGTTATGATATTAAAAATACTAGCATATACTTCTTCTTTAACAAGTTAACAGCAACGCGCCAACCTTTTCTTCTTTTTGCAATTTAGTGCCAACTCGAGATACCAAGTGCAGCCAGGTTATTCTCCAACTGATCTCCCCAAAGGAGTCGAAGTCTTCTTCTAATTCTTCTGGCGATTACTGCGTCGAATACTTTCAGAGATGAAGTGTTTTCATCCAAACGGACGACGCTGTCTCTTAATTCGCTGAATGTCAATGTCAATGTCGTCAATATAGCTCTTCGTTCCATCGAATGCGATATTAGCCGTGGCCAATGGGCAAAGGACCATAAATCGAAAACTCGTAACGATCACTCATCAGATGTCGTCATCGTCCATGCCTCTACACCATATAACAGGACGGGAATAATGAGTGACTTATAGAGCTTAGTTTTTGTTCGTCGAGAGAGGACTTTACTTCTCAATCGCTTTAGCTTTCATTATTTGATCGGCCTTATAATTTGCAACAGAGAGTAATAGTTCATTTTCTATATTAGCAAGTTTATATTAACTATAAACGTAATATACATTTTTTCTGATTCATGTATTAAAATGTAATTGTTTTTCAATTCTGTTTGGAGCGCAAAATGTTTTTTACCGCGCGAACTAAATCATGTGTTCATATCTGAATATTGCTCAACTAATTTTTGCACAACTTACAGACCGATTAATAATTGTTTTATAATTTTATTTCAAATACCTTAATACCTTAATTTTTTATTGAAAGTACTTTTTATTCTTACCTTCAATAAAAGAATTTTATTAACCCTGTTAAATTTTGCATTATTGGTCAAAACTGCGCTAGTTGATTGCAATGTTTCTTCTCCAGGAATATGTATCATGGCTATGTGTTGTGGCAGATCTACAGGTAAAAGTCTCCAGAAAAAAACGACTATCAGTATCCGAACCCCGCTGATCCATGCCCAGTCATTGATGGAGTAACACTACTAACTATACCTAATTGTGTGGCTGTATTATTTGTTTGTCAGTGTTGTGCTGCAAATTTCATACGTTTTTGTTTTTGCCTTTGATTGCAGAACCAGACACGCACCACGTTTTTCTTCAAGTCCAATTTCTCAGCGATAGCAGCAATTTTCTCACCAGAAGGCCTCGGTTGAACGGCAAAGTACGCTTCCAGGGAACGTTTTTCAGGCGCCGCAATGGAAGTCCTTTTTCTTGAAAAAAGACTCGATATAGATTACTGTTACAAAGTGGTTACTTTCAAGCTTTTCTTGCCAATGTAAGGATGTCATATACAGGGTGCCCACAGTGGGGTTCGTTAAAATGCCGCGTATGCCATACTGAAAAGCCCATTTCTCAAGTGAACACAATATTTTATTTTACAAATTAATTACAGCTTTAAAATAAAAAATAAAATATTAGAGGTTTCATAACAGATGGGCACCCTATATACATATGTATACTTATATATATATACTTAATAGTTTTATGTATTGGGACAGACAACATTTCTTTAATTTCCTTCTAATAGTACAAATATGTATGTATATTTACTATGAAGCAAATCAAGAGAACTCCAAAACAATTGCATTCAAATGTTTTAATAATGAACAGCACAAGTTCTAAGAAGATAAGATAATAGGTTATGTGATACTAAATTATTGTTTTCTAGACAAAATGGGTATACATTTTTTTTTGTGTACACAATTATATTACTGAAAAATAGTGAAAGCCGCTTATAAAAATTAAAATAATAAACGTCAGAGAGGGAAAATCTTCCAAAGCTTATATATTAAATTAAATTGAAACATCTATTGTAATTTCACTGACATTTTGGAGTAGAATAATTGGTTTCATATTGTATGTCTCTGTTAATACAAGAGCTATGCCTTGAATTTGGGACACAATTATAATGTTTGATATCAACCGAACACAGGTCTTACTTTCTTTCTTTTTTAGCTAATTTAATTTTCTAGCCTGTGATAGAAAATACATATACATAGATACGTATAACTGCTTAAGCACTTAATTAAGCAGTTTATAGCATTGATATTTGAAGCAATTTCAAGCAGCCCCATTTCATCGCGGAGTGTGTTTTTGAAAAAAGTGTTGATTATGTTTCATTCACAATAGAATTTAGATGTCAGTTTTTAACAATGTTGCGAACGGTAATACCCCTAACTCCTTAAATATTTGAGAGTTATGTTTGAATTTAGGAACAGAGATAGTTGTAGTAACTTCCGAATTAATCATGTAGTTAATAGGGTTAAACTCTTCCGTTTGTCAAGGCTATTAGATGTCGATACTTTACAAACTCTTCCCTTTTATCCTTTAAGCACAGAAACTAATTGATCATCTAACCGGTCTTTGCTGAATTAAAGCGTTAATGTAAATCAATTCACCTAAGATATAAAAATCTTATTCCACGCTGTAAATTGGGCTGTGTTTACTAATAATATAGCTGATTCATTTTGAGTAGCTTTTCCCTGCAATAATCCAATAAACTACTGTATTCGCAAATGTTTTCTAGTATAGTATGCAAGCAAAATCGCATTCAAATGCAATTTGTTTTCCTTTTTGCCAAGTTCTTATGAGAAGAAGAATAATATATTATATATAACAGTTAATCGCTAATCGAGCCTATCGTTAATCGAGTAGCCGGCTGCGTGAAAGGCAAAAAATGGGTTCTTTTATATTCTTAATGTACTAAATTAATTTGGCTATGCGAATAGGGTATTAATGACTTTACGAAATTACTTCAGTGGGGATGTGTCGACTGCCAAAAGATCTCTTTTTATGTTCTACAAAGCAGGCTAAGAAGTTCGTATAGTAAAAGTTAGCTATCGCATTATTAGACCACACTCTCAAAGGATTTGTTCTAAATCTCATAGTTATCGCATCGCATTTGAGTTACGAAAGTGTTGGTATATTGAAGAAACTACATAAAAAGTGAATCTCGAATATTAATATTAATGCACTCTTATTTGACGATTTGGTAAGCGTTATACGGGTTGCCTTCCTAATTTCACGCAAGCAATCGATGTAGTGCATAAATGATGTTATGTTATCAATGAATATCAAAGGAATGTGTGAGATATTATGTTTATGAAACGAAAATGTGCAAAGTGGAATGCGCGAGAGCGTGCAACCGAATCTAAGAAGTGTTTGAAACCGTTAAATCGTAATAAGGTCGTATTCTTGTACGAATATTCAACAATAGATAAAATTTGGGTTTACTCTTTAATCCGCTGCCTATTAAGTGTCTTTTTAATTTAATCATCAGACACTATTTTTCTATTCTCAGACCTCAAATAAACATGGTATCGGAAATCTTTTTTAAAAAAGATTATTTTAAATACAGGCTTTTTAGTTTTAGTGCTGAAACCGTGCGCCAAAATAGAAAAATATATTTATAAGTAGATTTCTGTACGGCTATGCTATTCACTAATTCAAAATACCCACATACATACATATGTACATTTATGAAAATAACGAACAAGAAATTTAGTGTACACGAGACTTTTTTGCGTTAAGGCACTAACCTAATGTACAGAGTTGTTGATTTATATTTCATGTCAGTTATAATGTAATGTTTCCATTAACCAAAACGTTGTCTACCTTTTCTTTTCACCAGCTGGAAGTACACTGGGGGCGTCTGGATCTCTTCGTTTGTTTTTTGCTTGCGCCTCCGCTTCTTCCAGCCATGCCTGTAGGATTGGTTTCAAAGCAATCATATTGTTGTGTGACAATGTAAGACTTTCAAATCGGCAAATTGTACTTTGAGAAAGCGCCCCAACTCCTGGTAATTTTAGATTTGCTAAAGCTTTACCTACATCAGCCTGCGTAACGCCTACAGCAAAATAGGGTTGAGTTGATGTTAGCAGCAGAATTTAAGCAGCCATTACCTAACTTTATTCGTCGTTGTTTAAATCTTTCTGCGAATGCTTCCAATTCTCTAGGATCCGTGTCAGTGTCGGGATGAAGTCCAGCCGCAGCCACCGCTGCAGATATAACAGGATGATGTACTGCAGAATGTCCATGATCTGAAAATATAAAACTTAAAGCTGACACGTTGAGGTTATATATTCAAAAATTACTTGTAGAGTGGCCACTTAAACCGCCAGGGTGGTGATGACTCATCATATGGTTCATACTATGATACGACCCATGTAAGTGCTGATGAGTCGGCGCTAATGATGTGTCTGACATGGGCGCTAACGTTGTCATTGGCCCCGTAGGGTCCAACATATCCAATTGATCCATCGTATGATGCATCTGTAAAAGTAAAAGTAAAACCATTTATTYACACAAATACCAACATTAATAGTTTATTTTAACATTGAACGTTAAATTCGTTTACAAACATTTTATACTCTTTCAATCAATACACATATACTATATACACATATACTATATATATACTTCATACACTGACCAACATATTCGGCATAAGGTTTGTTAAAGAAACGAAAATCATTATATGTAGTATATGGGAGTTGGTAGTAGCGATGATTTTATCTATTAACTATTATCATGCCACGTTTTAAAAAATGTTTCCAAGGTTTCATTAAGGTATTCAATTTTATTTATTTTAGGCACAAAGTTACACTGTTATGAGTAAAGAACGCTTCTTAATTTTTACTGAGACACATTAAATATTGAGCATAAAGTCAACTGGAAGTTGGAAAATTATTATATTAGGTATACGGGGGCTCAGGTAAGTATTTACCCGATTCAAAACATTTTTGATACACAGTGATACTATTGCCAGGAAAGGATTCTCTTTGAATTGTGTATCCTATGCATTGACCGATATTTTCGGTCAAATGTCAACTATAGATACTGAAGTCAACATTTCCGGTATTTGGGGCTTGAATACTTTTGTTGGATTTGGGACATTTTTGGTCATCGGGTGGCATACTTTAAAGACAATATTAGCACAAAATTGTATACCGTTATATTAATTATTTCTTGATTTGTGCTATATGGGTAGTAGGTGTGGTTGCGGTCTCATTTCACCAATTTTCGCACTGTGACATAGAGATGTGAGAAGATTGCCACGAACTAAGTTTAGGCGAAATCGGTTATTCGCGTTAGGAGATATAGGATTTCAACAAAAAGTGGTCGGTGCCACAACAAATGCCCAATTTTTCACACCGGATCCCATAAAGCGGATCTCGGGCATCAAATTTATTTTGACGGTTTGTATCCGTTGTTCTTGCGTATTTCTTTCCATGATGAAAATTACTGAATACAATGAAAAAAACAATTACAGATCATGAAAAATTAAAAATGAGCGAAACGACACTTGGAAATCGGTGAAAATACGCACTCCTGGCGAACACTTGCGGTCGATGTGATACACTCTCGAGAGCTCGCCAATATGAAGTACTCTGAGGTACTTGTACTTCGATTAAAGAAATTCCTCTAGATCAGAACGCCTTCGAAATACTTTCCCATTGTATGCTGTCAAACGTTCATAAACTCAACTGTGATACGTCAGCTCTTAATCCAATCAACGCACGGACGATTTGAGCGAAATTCTGTTTGCTGCTTTCTCAGAGATTGGTCATTGCTGATCAAATGCGCCTTAAAAGTATAACGGACAGTACCTTGGACGTTTTTGGTTGGTCCATTGGTGATATGATTTCCTGTAGATATGGAGTTCTGAGTATTTTTGCTTGAGTATATCCGTAAAATGATCTCTGAATCTATTCAGCTGATCACTCCTTGTCCGTTACCTAAGCACCTCATGTTTGAAAATGCTATCGATAATAAGTTTTTTATTGTTACAGACTCTATACTTAATATAGCGGGTATTATATAATTTATATTCCTAAAATTGCTTGTAAACATTTTCTCCCATATACTTGGGTAATGTCAAAAGTAAATCCGTTAGGACCTTCCACTACCCCCAATAAGAATTTCCACTTTTTGTAGTACTCAAAATTTGTGATATGTTAATACAATTAAGTACGCACATTTTTATAAATATAATGTGGTTAAACTCTGAATTTTACCTGTAATACACATACATGTGGGAGTTAGACACAAAATCTGATTGTAATTCTCTAAAAAATTAATATTTAATATTCGCTTACACCCGAAAATTCGTACCTCTTCCTTACTTTGAAAATTTAGTTGTAAATACTTGAAATTAAATAACTTTTGAAAAATGGATAATAAATATACTAGTTTTTTATTTGTCGTAAAATTAAAATTCAGACCTTTTGCCAGGGGGTATTTTACCCTTTATTATATATATGTTATAAGTCAGCATGCAAGACCTTTTTTCTTTGCAATATTTCTTTATTTATTGGATCTGTTTTGTTTTAGAAGCCTAATAATAAGTTATAAAACCTTAAATCCATTTAAAAATTAGATAAGCTTAAGCAAATGATTGAGCTGTTTTGGTAATACCTTGCTCTTTAGTCATATTTCTTCTTTTAAGGCTTTTTTGATCGCAGGAATCTCGAAGTTCGTTTTTACTGTCCTGCACATTTTTGGTCTTAGCGAAAATGTAACAACATGCTAACATTTTTGTCCATTCACATTTATACTAATATTCTTAAACATGTTATCTATATGTGGCATTTGTTACGGCTCACGAAAGTTATGTCATCCGCAAGAATTGATACGTTACATTATTAGCTGCTGGAAGAGTTGGGCCTAAAGCATTGCCCTGTAGTACACCAGCCCTTATCTGTTGTTCATCAGACATGAAATCTCCTACTTTAACCATAAATTGATAGACTCCAATGTTTTATACAATTCTGAAGGTAGAATGTTTTTAATCTTATAAAAAAGGCCTTTATGCCACATTTTGTCAAACGCCTGTGCCACGTCTCTAAATATAGCCGAACAGTACTCTCTATGCTGAAACGATTTTCTTATTTCGTTAGTAATTCTATTTACTTGCTATATCTCGCTATGTTTTTCACGAAACCCGAATTTGTGCGTTGGTATTATATTATTTTCGTGGAAGAAAGGAGATATCTTTGAGACTAACACTTTTTCAAATATTTTAGAAAGAAGTCTGAAGTCTTTCCCACGTTTATCTATCAAGATAATTTTCGAGTTTTTCGATGAAATTGGATAGTATCCAAAACTCAGAATTGCATTGAAGAGCACAGACGTCGTACACAGCATTATTTGGTTACTCAATTAGGTAATATTATCATGTCCTGGCCAGTTTTTTGGGTTAAGTTCATGAATGATCCTAATAATTTCAGAAGGTGAAGTCTTAAAAGACTCGAGCGACTCGTTTTTTGTGTTAAGTAAGATTGACAACTTTGCGCTCCGAGGTCCTAACATCGACTCGGACCACTATCTTGTTGCATCCAAAATTCGCACACGTCTCTGAGAAGCAAAATACACACGTCAACAAACACAAGGAAAGTTCGACGCCGAGAAACTGCAATCACAACAGACAGCAGAATGATTTTCTACTCGGCTTGCACTCCTGCTCTCTGAGAGCACTCGTCAACAACTCGGTATAAGGGAACTGTTGGACGGCATTTCAAACTCCTTACGTACAGCTGCAACCGAAACCACTGGTTTTCGGAAAGTGTGAAAGAACAGCTGGTATGACGAGGAGTGCCGTGTCGCAGCGGAGAGAAAACGGGCTGCCTACCTCGCAACGTTACAATGGACCACAACACGTGTGGGATACCGAGAGTTGAAGAGGGAAGCGAGACGCATTTTCAGACAGAAAAAGAAAAAGGCCGAAATGCGTGAGTACGAAGAGTTTGATAAGCTGGCCGACAGGGGTAATGCACGGAAATTGTACGAATAGATGCTGTTTCTTTCAGAAGGTTTCAAGACCGGATCACACTCTTGTAGAAAAAATAAAGGTTATCTAGTCGCCGATGCCCAGAGCATACTTAAATTATGGAGGGAAACTTCTCCAGCCTGCTGAAGGGCAGTGAACGCACAACACCAGGAGAAGGCGAACTCCCCAATTGATGACAATGCAGTAGACGTTCCATTGCCCGACCATGAAGAAGTTCGAATAGCAATTACCCGAAGAACAAAAAAGAGCTATTCAAACACGGCGGCAAAGAACTGATAAGGAGCATGAATCAGCTTCTTTGTAAATCTATAAAAAAGGAGGTCCCACAATATGCGCCAACTACCGTGGGATAAGCCTCCCCAACATCGCATATAAGGTTCTATCAGGCGTATTGTGTGAAAGATTAAAGCCCACTGTGAAAAAACTGATTGGATCTTATCAGTGTGGCTTTAGACCTGGCAAATCAACAACCGACCAGATATTCAGCATATGCCAAATCTTGGAAAAAACCCGTGAAAAGAGAATCGACGCATGCTTCGATGTCAGAATTTGGTATCCCCGCTAAACTAATACGGCTGTTTAAACTCACGTTGAACAACACCAAAAGCTCCATCAGCATCGGGATGGACCTCTCCGAGCCGTTCGATACCAAACGAGGTTTCAGACTTGGCGACTCCCTATCGTGCGACTTCTTCAATCTGCTTCTGGAGAAAGTAATTCGAGCTGCAGAACTAAATAGAGAAGGTACTACCTTCTATAAGAGTGTACAGCTGCTGGTGTATGCCGATGATATTGATATCATCGGCCTCAACTCCCGGGCCGTTAGTTCTTTTTTCTCCACACTGGACAAGGGTGCAAAGCAAATGGGTCTGGCAGTGAACGGGGGCATGATGAAATATCTGCCCTCAAAGTCCTCTCTCGACAAACAAAAACAAAACTCTATAAGTCACTCCCAATGCCCGTCCTGCTATATATTACAGAGGCTTTGTCGATGACAACAACTGAGGAGTTGACGTTGCGAGTTTTCAAGAGAAAAGTTCTGCGAAAGATTTATGGTCTTTGCGCGTAGACCACAGCGAATATCGCATTCGATGGCTATATGAGATATATGATGACATTGAAATAGTTCAGCGAATTAAAAAGCAGCGGCTACGCTGGCTGGGTCATATTGTCCGAATGGACGAAAAATCCAGCTCTGAAAGTATTCGAAGCAGAGTAAAAGCAAGGCCTCCACTCCGTTGGAAGTACCAGGTGGAGCAGGCTATGCTTGGAATATCCAATTGGCGCCACGTATCGAAAAGAAGAAACGACTGGCGCGCTGTTGTTAACTCGGCTATAATCGCGAAAGCGGTGTCTACGAAGAACATTGACAACTTGAAGTTGTTCTTTGGGAAATTACATAGGTTGACATACTTTTTCTAGGCATTTTCATTGCAAAACAATAAGCCTCGTCACTTTTATCTCAATTTCCACTTAAGTCTGG